AAGTATCAATTCATCATAGTGTGTATTTTTTTTTAATTCTTTTACTGACTCTGTTATAAAATTGCATTTCTTAAAAATTTCTATTGCAGTTTTTTGTTTAGCTATGGTTAGAATTAAGATAAAATTAACTGCCATGAAAAAAATTATGTTATAAATATAAGCCCAAATTTTAATTACAAAATGATTATTTACAACACGTTTTTTAAGAAAATTTTTTAAGTAAAAATTTTGAATTGAAATTAAGATTGCTAATAAACAAATATTGTAGGCTATCCCTGTATATGAATAATTAAATAACCAATGACTCAAATTGCTACTTCTAATTTCTTTAAAATTTATAGTTAGACATCCAAGCACTCGATTATAAAAGTAAAATAATTTAATAAATGTTACTGTTTTTGCTTTATTATTTGATTTTAACTCATCCATCATGATAACAACAGAAATTTCAAGCTGAAAAAAGAGATAATTTTTTTTTTACTAATTATAATTTTTACAAAATATAAATATTTTACCAATGAGAATAATTACTTCAACAAAGATTGACGGACTGTGTAATAAGAACTGTAATTCAATATTAAAGTATCGTCTGTCCATTGAAGTCCAAACCGCTTGAAGTCACACAGCTGATTGATCATGGAAAAATGGTACCGGAGAAAGATGGAAGTTTTTCGATATCCAAGGGAATTTCCTAAATTAAGGCACAGAAATGGTTCTATAAAAAGAATCTTCACCATTTTTTATTAGTACACAGCAAAAAATTTATAAGCTTGTCATGTGCTCCCAAGAATTGAATATAAAACAAATAATATGAAGGTGATATCTATAGATTCTGTAAATTAAATCCCCTCCAAAGATGAGTTACAAGTAGAAGATACCCTTGAATTGTATACTAAACTATTTCATGTGTAATATATATAAGTATTAAGTCACAGTAGCGCATATATTAGCTAAGATAACAAATATCGACATTTACAAAATCTAAATACCTAACTCAAAAGTATTTTTATAATTAAATTTGACTAAAAAATAATGAAACAGAAGTTATTATGACCATATACTATAGACATTGAACATACACATGCAAAAAATGCCGTTTCTTCTACTAATTTCGTAAAGTTCATAATATGGAGTATTCTTGCGATATTCATCAACATTTTTGTACAGTCTTTAAAATTAAAAATCTTCAATATTACAGATAGTAGACCTATGTAGATAAGTGGTCACAGCAAGTTTAGTGGTTAATTGATATTATTGATAAAATTTTCTAAATTTCAGAAAATACACAAAAATTACAATTTTTTTTTTTTGTTAACTTTATAAATCTCTTGATTTTTTTGTGCTAATATACTTATAACACATCCGCTGGCTAATGTACCTTTAAAAATACTTTGTTTCAACGGAATTCGTCATAAATTATAATTTAATCATTATAGGTAAAAACTGCAGATACACCCAACAAAGTATTTTGTAGCTTATAAAAGAAAATTTCAAGGTTCCCTGTAGAGTAGTTTCGATAAAATGTACTGTAGAAATAATTCATACATAGAGAATAAAACTTTTAGTACCATAAAAAACATACTAACGTACTGCACTGTATATTACATAAAATTCAGTTGATGAATAGGCAATGATTTAAAATAACGTCAATTAAAAATAATGCGGATATTTATCCTTTCTGGTACTTATTAAACGTTGGAATCATCATACTAGTGCTGTAATTGATATAGTAGAACCAAGTTCGATAAGGTTACACTTATCATCTGTAAAAAAATTATTGATGATTATAGTTACTTATGTAAAAAATATTTTACTTGCATGCATTAATTACTTTATATTTTACAATGCAATACATTTCAGAAAATTAACTAAAACACTCACTGATACGAACAGTGATCTTTTTAATGGAAAAACCTTCAATGCTTGAAATTGAAGAGCTGTAGTCTTGCAATGATGCGAAAATAGTAAGAGCTAAAAAGCAATATTTGCATTCATTTTTTAAAACTGTCCTACTAGTATCGGTGTTAGTTTTAAATCTTACTTGATATGTAATACTGTTGCTCTTCTCACTATCGTTATGTATCATGCAACGGATCAGTACAGAGTTAACTTTTTGAGCCTGTATCATTAAAAAAAATTTTTAAATAAAGTTTAAAAAACAAAATAAAAATTATAAATAACCTATATATTTTATTACCTGTTTATCTGCTGATCGAACAGAGTCAACTA